CACGCACATTGCTTGTACTCGAAAAAGAAGAAATAGAGTTGCGTGACGAATGTACGAAGAGGAACGAGGAACTGAAGAAAGAGAAGAGAAGGAAATTTTAAAAAAATTGAGCAGGGAAAGGTATCCATTTCCACTGGAACTGTTAAACGTTGCGTTGCCCGACCGACACGTACTCGTCACCCAGCGCCCTCTGCCCCGTAGAGGAGTCGTTTGCCGTTTCCCCTGTCTCTCATCGGCCTTCCCTGCTCGCGACGCGGCAAAGGACACCCGATACTCGTCAGCGATCACTGGACGCCTACGTTGCTTCCCTGACTCATTCACCTCTTTCAATTGCCTTAGCAAGCCAAGCCATGCACTTTTTATCACGTTCTTCAAAGGCCACCCACTACTGGAAACCTGTCGAGCCCGTGCTAACGGGTGTCAATAGCATTTGCATTTACGAAAATGCCACTTGTTTTCGTCTCCTCTGACGAATTAACTTCTACCTCGTTTTATAGTTCTTCATCTGCCTTTGCTTATTATTTACTCTACACAATAAAACTTGTCGGAGTTTTGGAGCGATCGTAAAATTTGTATTTACCAGCTAATGCAATGCAAACGTCGGTATTCAGGAGTGCATGAACCAGCAATAGTTCAATCGTGTTGGAAAACTTTCCCCAATGAATGTCTCAAAACATTGTGGGACAGTTGCCTGGCAGTCAGTGATACATCCCCATACTTCTATAGAGACAATACATGACATGACAATATAACGTAGGCACTTGAAGCTAGTGGCCCTAGTGCTTCGACCTGTCAACACCATTGTGATATCAAGTACGAAGTGCATAAGTTTAAAAGATTTTTAGTTTACTTACGATTACGTTTACTTACGTTTCGCAGAGTGGTTCAAAAGTTATAGTATACGTATTGAAATTTTAATTAATCGTCTATTTTCCAGGGCACTTCACTAGGTTCGCTACTGACCACTTGTCTGCCATTAAAAGTATGAGAAAGACTTAGTGTCCTGTATTGTCTACATATAAACTTCCCCTTTGTCGTTCAACCATTATGTCGCCACACGTTCGGATTTGCTGATCGTGAGCGTGATTGCGTCACCTGCACAGGATATCATTCGCGCGGCATCAGTTGACCGTTGCTTAGCCCATTCGCTCTCGCTTCTTGCACGACATGACGTCACCACCTGACTAATTCGCAAATTTCTGAGGAGGAAATCGTGTATACAGCCTCCGCTCCCGACGCCAATTCATCACGCTTACTGGCTTATGTGCCTCAGTGAAGCAAATGACGTCACTGCAGTGCCTCTTATCGGGAGGTTCTAAGGTTCTAGTCTTGACAGTGAAAGCCTTTTTGAGACTAGCTGGATAACTAGTTGGAATTCGGCCGCTGTTTGTAATTGCAGTCTAGTGACTGGCTGCTCTAATCGATAGTTTTCCGTGGTTTCTCCAATCAATACCAGGCGAATGACAGAGCAATACCCTCACAAACGGGCCACGGATTGCGATCTTTCCTTCCTCTTCCTCCTATCTTCACCCTTACTTTCACACACTTATACTTACATGCTCTACACTAGTACCACACATGTCGGTAAACAATTCGGCAGCTGAGAGCTTGTCCCAGCTGGGGCACGCCCCATGCCCGAGGTATCTGATTGGGGGAAATCATGCACGCCTATGAGTAGATTGGCACCGGTTCTCGCTTTACAGAGAGAAATACCACTGCCAACTCCCACGTTAAAAACATGAACTACATTTATGGGACTAAAAACCTTACGGGTTGACGCGCCTACAAAAACGAATCAATCAACCGAACCGAACGTCGCTCCTTGTATTGCATTACATAACTACCCGTCTAATTCGCAAATTTCCAAGAAGAAAATTGCGAACGCTGCCTCTACTAACGCCCCCAATCCGTCGTGCGCAGGCAGACCGCAGCCGCTGCAGCGAGCGCTGGTGCGCGCCTCGGCCGTTGGCGGCGGTGGCGGTGTTCCCGAATAGCTCCATGCGCGTCGCGGGCGCCTCGCTATT